TGCCGATAAATGAGCCAGCGTCTGGTGGACAGAGAGAGAGAGGCTCAGCTTAACTGTATAGTGAGTCTGCAGGAGTTGGTTATAATTCTCACGCTTACTCTGGTTGCTTCACCCTGATACATGCAGGACGTTCCACCAGGCCCAGTTTGTCTGTGTCGGGAGGGGTCCACATTGTGCTGAGGCTGGAAGTGTGAAGAGCAGCCAGGCCACGGTGTACCGGTGATATTTTGCCACCACAGTTTGAAGGCATACCTACAAAAAAAACAGAGACACAGAGGCGTATTGTTTCTTGCTTCTAATAGTTTATAAATAGATCAATCTTCCAGCGTAACTTCTCTTTTCTTCTCCAACGGAATTTTGGTTATTATTTCTGTCTTGATTTTTTTTATCCTACTGGCATTATAATCCCCCATGACATGAATCTGAATGTTGCATGACTACGTTTTTGTCGAGTTTTGTCTTATCGGTGTTCTGGACAGTAGAAAGATGGAAGAAGGGTTTTTTAGAGGAATAGTCATTGGCATACCTGTTCCCAAAAGTATGTTGGAATGAAGGACATGGTATGCGTTTAGAGGTAAAAAGGGATAGAGACTGGAAGATGGAGATAAGCAAATTGGGAATGAACTGGACCCATCGGTTCATGTTTTAGATTTCAGAGAAAGGAATAATATGAGAGTCTGAATGAGCTTTCCTGATCAATTAACCAATACTCATTTAACTATTTACTCCCAATGTTGTTGCTCTATATGCCTGTAAACTACAACTTTTAGAAAAAGGAATTGTTTCTTAAAGAATTATAATGAAGCAGATTGTGTTAACTATGTTACACATGTATTCTTAATCAAAGAGGTCACTATGTTTTTGTGAAAACAGTTCCATGTCACACCAGGCTTTTGCCTCCTGGAAATAGATGAAAATAGTGTGAATGTTATTCTCCACAACGGGTGGGTTAAATTCACATTAGATTAATTCAGATTAACTAAATGTGAAGGATCAGGCACTGAGAGGAGTTTGTCAACAAGGTTTCATGAAAGTCTTCTTAAATTACTGTAAGCTGTTTAAACAATGCACTGGTGGCAGAGTTTATAGATGGTTTTTGACAGAGTAAAGGAATATTCACTCTAAAAGCGTTATGGCTATAAATGGTAATTGTTTAATCATTGTGAATGCTCAGTTGTAAGAAATAAACAAAAAATGTTCCTGGGATAACAATGTAAAAGGATTATTTACAAGGCAATAAAAAAAAACATTATAAGAAATAGTTAACGTTAGGAATTGTGGGGGGAAAAGGTTATGTTCACTAGCTTTTGCCGGGAGAGGACAGTAGATGTCCATCTAGTCGGGCCAGGCAAGCGGTTATAGTTTAACTGTTAGTTTAACTGTAAGCTTAATTGTTAGTTTAACTGTAAGCTTAGTATGAGAGTTGGGAACTGGCTAAAACAGCTAGCCTGCCTCTGTCCAAAGGTAATAAAATCCACCTTCCAGTGCCTCTAGGCTCACATGTATCTCATTTGTTTAATCTGCGTAAATTTGAATGTGTAAAAATGACAATCGGCCGGTTTATGGGATGTTGAGAGACGTTAGGAGATGTCCAACCGCCGTTTGTTGGCTGAAAGCGGTAACTTCCTGGAGTCTCACATGGTTGCCTGGCAACCGCACATAATGAATTTTCAAAAAGGTAAAACTTCAAAAAGCGTTTTATTTAAATCAAAACAAATATTCTGTTGTCAGTTATTTGGGTTGTTGTTACTCAACATAATGAAACAAAATATTTTAGCTTTTTTTTTTTTTTTTTTTTAGAAAAGTTTAGGTTAATACACTTTGCGCAGTTGCCAGGCAACGAGCGAAGAAAGGAAATAGTCAGACATCCTGTAAGTCAAAGTGTAACATCGCGGCCTAACGTCCCACAAAACGGCAAAGACTCCATGTTTAGTGTAATAAAGTTTTTATTTTTATTTTAAAACGTCAGTGAATAAGAATTAGGCGGTCTTTCCGTCCAGGACCAACGTCATGACGTCACCTCAGCTCACCTGTACGCAGTGAGCTCCACCTTGTCGCTGTCGCTGGACGCGAGCTCCGGGATGAGGGACAGGTGTGAGATCTGAGTGGCCGCCCAGCCGAACTGGAAGATGATGATGAAGGGGGAGAAGTAAAAGAGCTGAGCCCACGGAGGAGTGGTGTCTTTACAGGCCAGGCAGGGGTTGAAAATGAAGGGGAAGGACACAAGAACACACACAGTCCCTGGAAAGTAGAGAAGGAAGACTTTAAATTAATATTAGGCGACCATGTAGTGTTTTAAAAAGTAGAAAATAAACTAAATTAGTATTGTGTTTATGCTCACTTTATGGTCTTTTTTGGAAAATAAATCATTAAAACATATCCCTTTAATATCAGTGGTCTACTTTTACTCAAATTTGTGGCTTTTATTTTTTATTTTATACGATTTTAAACTGGTACTCAAATCATATTTCAAGGAAACTATTTCTAACTTAACTTTAAAACACTTATATGGTTGCTTACTCAACAAATAAAGTAAGATAGATTGATTAAACAGTATATAAAGTTGTAAGAACCAGTAATATTACGCTATAAAGGAGCCATAGCCAAGTAGTTAAACTATATATAGACTTTTTATTCATATTTATCCATATATATTTATATATATGCTGCACACTCACAGGTACGTACCCAGTAGATGCCAGTTTTTCCTCTTGCCCGGCAACCTGTCGGATTCATACCCAATCAGAGGCGTACAGACTCCGTCCGCTATCTGTCCAATCAGCAGCAGCGCACCTGCATAGGTGCTCTGGAAGCCGAGCACTGAGTGCAGGTAGACCAGCAGATAGGTGAACCACATAGAGGCGCACAGGTCGTTCAGAAAGTGTCCCGCAGCGTAACATATCCGCCTGTAGACCGGTAAAGACCGACCCGCAGGCACAAACTGCTCCATGATTGATTTGACTCCTGTGATAAAATTTCCTTTATTCACAATTAGAGATCTGTCGTTGTCATATTTACAAATACATAATGCAAGTAGTTACACTAACAGAGCAACAAAAAAAAAACAAAAAAAAAAAACACAGTTCAACCTTGGTCCTTGGCAATGTAGTGGATTATGCCAAGCCGGGTCCCCACGTTGGTCAGCTGAACCAGTTTAGCTTTCAGCGGAATAATTTAATGCGCCAACAAAAAGCTTTTCTGATCAATCAGCGGCACTTGAGGGACACCGATGGAGGACTGGACGCGCTGGTGCACCCGGTGACATCCCCGGAACATCTGGAGAGGGTCTTTAAAGTTATTCTACAGCTCTGCAATGTACACGCCCCCGGTGTGGCTTAAATTAGACCCAAGTGGTTATGAGTGATTTTTTTTTTGAAAAACTCGTGAGTTTACAATACTGTTAACAAATAGTTAGTTCCTCATTCTGTTCTTCACATGGCGAGTGACTCAAGCACAGAACCCACTTCAGTCCTAAATCATGTCCACACACACACACACACACACACACACAGAGAGAGAGAAAGAAACATTCATCTCGCCTTCATAACTTAAAATCAAGTAAGTTGTAGACACTTAGCAAAGCTAAAATATCAAATTCATTTAAAAAATAAATTAAAAATGAACCAGATCATTGTGCAAACAAAATATCAGATGTGTAAGGACTTCATATATGTTCTGAGTTCCTTCCCATTGCAGTTCTGTTTTAAAACTTAATGACATTTATTCGGGGATTATGAAAAGTGGAGAAAAAAACAGAACAACCTAGACTTCTTCCTTTTACCATCTTAATGACACACACACGTAATGTTGTGGTGGTCCCGGTCAGCACTCACATCACAGTGCTGACGGGCCGGTCGGTCCTGTGCAGTCTAATGTTCAACTCCAACGAATCACAAATATGAGGCTCAAGTCTTTTAAAGGGTCTCTTCCACTGACACTGATTTCACCCTGAATCTGGAGCACGAGGGATCTTTTTTTTTTTTTGGGGGGGGTTTAATATATGAAGCCGTATGACGTCATCAGGATAATCTGAGCCTGGGCTTGTGATTTCAAACTTTTAACCCAAAGCCATTGTTATAAACTGAGCATTGTGGGGCTTAAGAGGCAGGAAGCACAATGAAAAATTGTGGGAAATGTAGGATCCAGTGCTTTTGGAGTTTGACCCATACGAGTCAGGATGTCTTTGATTTTGGCTGATTCTTTTATATATAAATATATATATAAAAAGGACCAGTGTGTAGGATTTAGTGGGCATCTTCACAGTGGAGGGGCATCTTCACAGTGGAGGGGCAACTAACTGAACGCCTCTCGCATCTGTTATTTGACGACTGGGGAATGAGAACGGGCTGTGAAGTGTGAAGGAAAAACTACGGTGGCTGCAAAACTGCGAAAAAGCCCTACAGCCAGTGTTCGGTTTGTCCGTTCTGGGCTACTGTAGATAAAAACATTTCATTCTAAGGTAACAAAAACATAATGATTCCTATATTCAGGGGATTATAAACTAATGAATATTATATTTAATTTCTGCCAATAGATCCTCCTAAATGTTTCACACTGGACCTTTAAATCTGTCTTTTGTGAATATTAAAATCTCTGCAGTGCTCCTTTAAATAACTCAAGGCCATTAAACTTTCGGGGAGATTCAAACAATCCTGAACA